CGACCTTAAGTTATTCGTAAACTTCCCTTTCTCTCTGTCACTTTCTGCTTCTCCCGCCGCTAATCGCGCATATTCCCTCACGCGCCGCCACCCAAGATCAACGGATCCTCTTTCAATTGCGTGACCGCTTCAACTTCAACCGTCAATTCTCCGGCCAAATTAAGTGGAAAAGCCCCATTTCCAGGTTTTTTTTTTTCAACTAATTATCAAAAACCCCGTAGTTAGATCACAGGAATTATACCCAATGCTTGTTAGTTTTTTTAATTATTCATCCCCTCGAGTCTAACTATTGTCGAAATTATTATTTTTATCAAGGGTAAAATTGTTGTGTATGTGCTGTACAATGCAATCATATTGTTGTGTATTATTGAGTTTGATAGTTCATATGAATTCGTGTATGTTTATCTTTTTTAATTTTAATTTTTTTTGGTTCTGAGAGGAAGATTGATAGTTGGGTTTATCTATGATTCAAATGTCAAGCTTGTCGCCTGAAAAATTGTAAATTAATTTTGGGAAGGTGTGGGGTTTTTCAGATTCTATTGTTTGGGAGAATTTTATTGTTATTTTTAATCTGCTAGAATATTATCCAGGAGATATTGTTTATCCTGCTCGCACATTTATGCTTGAGTCGCGGTTTGCGGAGAGAGGATCGTAAAGTGTTCATTTCGTTATATCTTCCACAAATATTACATTAAGGGTCTGTTTGGTTATGAGGTAAATTGTTTTGGGGAAAAAGGTGAAAATATTTCGTGAAGTTAAAACAAGAAAAATGCATTTTACTAAAATAAAAGTGAGGAAAACTACACGCAAAACGCTAGCAGTTTTGTATCTTCGTCAATTTCGATTTTTCTCCGTCCTAGAAAACCCCCAATTACGGAAGTAGTTCACCTCCATGACAGAATCTCAACAAACACGTCTGCTTAGGTAAAGCAATGATTTTCCACTAAATCAATTTCATCACCATTTTCCTAAGAAATCAAACATAGTAGCGGTTTTCAAATTCTTTATTTTCATTAGCCTCATTTCAATGTCCTCGAACCAAACAGAGCCTAGTTGTTTAGTAGGACTTGCAAAATCACATCTTACCTAATTGTGCTGCAGTGAATCTTTTGTTAGACAAAGATATCCACTTTCGACGATTCCAGTTTTCACTGCTGCAGTTTCAAGAATGCAGCTCATTATCTATTATAAATTGCTATAGAAAATATAGTAATATCAGCTGGAATTGCCAATCTAAAATGTCCGACTTTGTGTTATATTACATTTTATTACACCTTTTCCGTCGTAATAAATAATTTGCGATGGTCATAAACTCTTGTATAAGGTCTACTTTACTGTTCTGCATAGATTTAACGAATTATTCTACTCCTTTAGCTTCCTTGTATAAATAGTGACGTAAGCGTTGTATTTCGTGGTGTAGAATTTCTCTGGCGAAGGGGCTGCTAAAGCAAAGAATCTACAATTAGTCGAAAAAGCAAATGCTTTAATTTCTTTCCCTTTTGAAAACCAAAATTCGACCCCTATAAAAATTTCCGTTTGTGAAATCGAAGGGATGCTAGTTTACAGCGTGTATAAATGTCAGTTATACTCGAGCGTCTGAAATTAATGATACATGGATTTCATAAATCATCATCAATGAGCCCGAAGAGATTGGACGGTCCAGATGATGCGAGGCCCTTGCCTTACCTAAACCTTTCTCAGCCCGACACTCTTAAAAATAACCGTGAAGTATTTGTACTGCCGATGTTGGAGGCTGTACACGAGGTTTCCATTTATATTCACCGATTTCACAACCTTGACTTGTTTCAACAAGGGTGAGAGTACTATTATAACTTCTCGTATCACTATTTTCCGTTCTTTTTTTTTTTTTTTTTTTTGGTAAAGTACTTAACTTGTTTCTTGTGTAATTTTAAATTTTTTCAGATGGTATCAACTTAAGATTACGATTAGGTGGGAGGATGGTGATTCTGGTTCGTTTGGAACGCCAGCTAGAGTTGTTCAATATGAAGGTAATTATCCTAGTATTTTACGAATTGCGCAGAAGTGAATAATAATTTTTTGTAATTCTTTGATGCCGTTTTCTCTAGTTCTTACAGAAAGATTGCACTTTTAACAAGACGGACTGACTTAGTTTCTGTTTCCCTAGCAGCTCCTGATTTGGGTTCGGAGGATATATATGGGGTCTGGAGAATTGACGACGTAGACCATAGCTTTTCAACACAGCCTTTTCGAATCAGATATGCAAGACAGGATATTCTTTTGGCAATGATGGTCTCTTTCAATTTATCTCTTAATAAATTTGAGGTAATTTCCTCGTTTTTCTTGGACGTGTGAACATGCAACTTATATATATATATATATATATATATACATATATATATATATATATATATATATATATATATATATATATATATATATATATATCATTTGAATTGGTATTTGAATTCCCAGAATCCATCCACTTCTGCTGTTATTCTGAAGTTTGAGCTGTTGTACGCTCCCGTTTTAGAGAATAGGTTAGTGGGCATAATCCGAGTTTCCAATTCTTTTTCCTTGTATAATGTTTGATGATTTCAATGAAATGAATGTACCTATTTCTGTTAAAGCTCGATCTTAGTAATTTTAGTGCCTTTTCTAGGTATAGTGTTCAGGCTTGTTTGGATACATGCCCATCTGCAATCCACGAATTTCGTCTCTCTCCTAAAGCTCTTTTGGGTTTGCACGCCTATTGTCCCGTTCATTTTGATGCTTTCCATGCTGTCGTGGTCGATACAAGCGTACACGTCAGCATGCTGAAAAGTGGGGTCCGCATTTCCTCTGTGAAGGCACTCAGGTTCGTTTCTCTTTCTTGAAATATGATATGACTTGCACATGATTATTTAATTGTTTTTGTTTTTCATTAGTGATGATAGGTAAGTAACAAATGTATATTGTCTTCTTTTAGTGATCCTCGAGCTAGCGACGATGATTTTGTTGGAGAGAATGATGAATCAAAGCAAGTAAGTTCTCTTCTGAATTTCTATTTTACGAATTTGAATTATTCTGATATTATTAGATACAATCACTGCTTCCCTTTTCTTTTCGACTGTTTTCGATAAAACTCCTTTCCCAATGTGGTCAAAACTAAATGTTCTCGCCTTTTGTGACATCATATTTATAATCGTAAAATTGAGATAATAATTTCCCGGCAAGGATAGGTCTTTCTAATTTGATATGTTTTTTTAACAGGTTATGCTTGTGAAAGCATTATCTAGTGCTCGAGACATACTTGTGGAAGAGCTACAAAAGCTGAGCAAGGGTATCAATCAACCAATTGATATGAAAGATATTGCTTCCGATAAATTGGCTGGTTTCAGTCCAAGATCAGATGAGGGTATTTCCGATATTTCACCATCGAAGGTCAGTAGATGATTTGAGGCTAAGAAATTTGTTACTATGATTCTCTCTCAGACTATTTTGTTTATTCTGTTTGCTTTTATTACTCGAACAGAAACCAAACGGTGAAGTTGATTCTCAACATGATGGTTCTCTCCATTTATTGTCCGAGGATAATCTACACAAGTCGTTCGATTTGATTGGCGGTCAAGTGTTTTACTTATGGAGTACATTTCTAAATTTTCACAGGTTTTTTTTTTCCCTTTATTAATTATTTATCGGCACGTTATTGTATTATATTTTCTGATAGTAGGTTGTAAATAAAAGTTGAAACAGAGATTTTTTCCGTCTCAGGGCTAACAAAACGAAGATTCTTGAATTTCTTTGCAATCAGTGGGCTGTCGATCGGAAAGCTGAATGGTCAATCTGGATGGTTCATACCAAGGTTGAGATGCCCCATCCTTATATAAGCGGTGTGGTCGATGATTCCTCTAACCATGGTTTACGGGGTAGAGGATTCAATCTACGAAAGTTAACAGCCGATGTAATTTCTTCCATCACTTATTACTCCATTATTTATTTATCTTCAGCATTTTTTTTCCATATTAACTGCAGAATCCATTTCTTGTTGATTTTTTTTTTGTTTTCGTTGTCTTTAGCCTGCACAGACTGCAGCTATGCGAGCAGAGCTTCATAGGAGAAGTATCGCCCAAATGAGGGTGAGCTTCTTTCACCCCCCACCCCTCAAATTGAAATCATGTTACATATGAATATGGGTAGAAATTGGACGGATCAGATATGAATCGGAAAAAAATCCAATTTTTTGGGAAGTGGAAAATTATTTCCAGTTTCCATCGGAATATTTTGGAAGAATCGGAAATCGGAATTTCGAAAGAATAAAAAAAAACTTGTTCCAAAATTTGAAAATTTTGGATCGGAATCGGCAAAAGTCGGATTTTTTTAAATTTTTTAGTCACCTATGATATAAAATACTTATATCTGTATGAAGTGTAATTTTTCAAAAAAACAAAAAATCAGAATTTGTTGAAATATTTCCGAAATTAAAATTGGATCGGAAATCGGAATCTAATACGTATGCCAATTCCATTAAAAAAATGAAAATCGGAAATCGAAATTTTCAGTGTTCGGAATGAAAAACATTGCTTGAAAAGCGGAAATTTTTGGATTGGTTTCCACTCCTAGAAAAGTAGGGGACGATCAGGAGTTTAAACTTATCTCACTCCCAATTTTTTGATTTTTTGCAGATAAACAATCGTTTTATTCAAGACTTGCATATATTTGGAGACCCATCGAGCATCCCTATTGTAATTGTGGAACGAGTTGTCAATGCACCTGTACGTACAACCAGTGGGAATTCTTACTTTAGCCAGCTGGACCAGAAAGATATACAAAACGTGATAGCTGACGTGGACTCTAAACCCTCAAACAAGTTATCTGGCGAAACTCGTCAAAATGGTCGTGTTCTGAAGATTGTAGTCTTTGTCCATGGATTCCAGGCATGTTTTATAAGATGGCTAACTAAAACTCTAATTACCTTATATTTCTACCATCATGTTGATTGTAGCTTGCATTTAATTTATTACGAATACACCCCCCCCGAGGTACGAATAAATTATGAAAACCCCTCTCGTTTGCGCTATTAAATCTACACCTAGGTATGTCATCGCTAACATTTTCCTCCTTACGGCTTCAACAATTACACAATCTTTTAGATTCCAAGAATAATCGTGCCAAAAAATCCAATTCTACCCCTGCAATTATCAGGTGTGTAATTGTAAGATTTTTTTTGTTTATTAGGGATTAATTTTAATATTTTTAGAGAATGTAAAATTAGCCTTACCTAAGGGTTGTGTTCATAATTTACTCTCAATGTATCGGTTTAGAATTTCGTACTTGCTACGGTGGGCTGATTCTCTAGGAAATCGAGATAAAAATCTAACAAATCCTTCTTTATTATTCGTTGTTAATTGTAATGTGCATATTTTCTTATGAATGTAATATCCATATTACCTTTGGAATTTGGTACACGTGGGACATAATTAATACTAAAACGTTGATTTTTATGGTGTTCATATATACATGTGGGGCATTAATCTCAATTCATTAATATACATGTATCTATGAACGTAATTAATCATTAATATGCTCATATCGACGGCATTCTTGCCCATTCACATCATCCAGGTGTACAAAGACAATATTTTTTTTTAATTGCAATAATTTGCTAAAACGTGCAGGGACATCATCTGGACTTACGGCTTGTCCGAAACCAATGGCTTCTAATAGACCCAAAAGCGGAGTGTCTTATGTCAGAAGCGAATGAAGAGAAAACGTCTGGCGATTTTAGAGAAATGGGACAAAGGCTCGCAAAAGAAGTCGTTTCTTTCGTTAAAAAGAAAATGGACAAGGCTTCTCGATCCGGGGTCTTGAGAACAATTAAGCTCAGTTTTGTCGGACATTCAATCGGAAACATCATTTTACGAACTGCACTAACAGGTTTAGTGTAGTATCTTGTATCTTTGTGCTATTAATTTGCTCGTTAATAATTTTGTCTAATTTTTGTTATCTTGTACTTTTTTCAGACAGCATTATGGAACCGTATCTGAGATATCTGCATACGTATCTGTCAGTGTCGGGCCCACATCTAGGTTATCTTTATAGTTCGAACTCGTTGTTTAATGGGGGTTTGTGGGTGCTGAAGAAGCTCAAGGGTACTCAGTGTATTCATCAGCTGACATTTACTGATGATCCTGATCTGCACAATACTTTCTTGTACAACTTGTGTAAGGTACTACTACTAATTAAACTCTTATCTTCCAATTTAGGTATATTATTTTTCTATGTTAGATTCTTTCGATTCTTAAATGTGCTGGATTGAGAAATATTTGCTGGGATAAGCAATTGAAAAGAAAAAACGACTTTGCTGCCGTTTTAGATATCTTTTAACATCGTATGTATCCGTTATTATTTCTCGGTTGATGATTTTCTTTTTTATGACTATTTTTTCAGCAAAAAACATTGGAGAATTTCAGAAATATTATTCTGTTATCTTCACCCCAGGTAGTCCACCTCCTACTTTGCGGTTTCGTTTTTAATTCTTTGATGTTTTTTCCTTCAACTTCTAAGTATTATTATGTGGAATTATTTTTACTTTATTTTTTTTTTAAAACGTAAAAGAGAAATTTTTTGTCGGCCCACAGAATTAAAAGCTCCGTATTTATGCGTAATAATTAACCCGTAATGGTTCGTGATCTTATGGTCTATGTTTTCTTTCCTAAATTGTGTAAGATGACAAGAATGCCCCAGGACATATATATACTAAAAATCTGTCTCTACCTAGTATTCCGTCTAGGAGTGGAAATCAGATTTTGATTGGATCGGAATTAGCACTTTCGCAAAAAATCCAAAAAATGGCAAAGTAAAAAAACTAGTTCCAATTCCATTCCAAAACAATCCGAAAAAAACGGGAATCGGGATTTCGAAAATTGGACTTGTTCCAAAATTGGAAATTTTTCGAATCTGGATCGCTAGAATCCGGAATTTCCATTTTTTTAGTCACCTATATTGTAAATTACATAATAATATTGGTATTATAAGTGTAACTTTCGGATATAAATTAGAATTTCCGGAAAGTGTAATCGGGTCGGAAGCAGCGGAAATTCGGAAATTCTATTTCGATATCAACCCTAGTGCCACCTGTCATAGTCTCTCGTATATATAATCAACATATGAAACCATTGTCTACTTTAATACATGCACACATTACTACTTGGAATGGGATTTTCTTTATTTTTTTTTTTAATTTTTTCGGTAATGATAGCTTATTGATTTTGTATTGCGCAGGATGGCTATGTACCATACCATTCCGCTAGAATCGAAACATGCCACGCATCTTCATCAGACACCTCGAAAAAGGGCAAAGTATTTCTCGAGATGCTAAACGAATGCTTGGACCAAATACGCGCACCTTCCTCCGAACACCGTGTGTTCATGCGTTGCGACATCAATTTCGACATTTCATTACAAGGAAGAAACCTCAACACCATCATCGGACGAGCTGCGCATATCGAGTTCCTCGAATCAGACATCTTTGCAAAGTTCATAATGTGGTCCTTCCCAGATTTGTTCCGCTGATTTGCAGGATTATTAATAACGATTTTCTCCTGTCTGAATGGAAATCTATGCTCAAATGATCGAGACTGCATTAAAGCGCCATCCAGCCTCCATTTTTTTTTACGTGAGGGCCCTCGGTATTTTCAGGTAGTGTATATTATTTTCTGTAACATCTTATATATTATTATTATATTAAAATCCTTAGATTTGTTTAGATTAATCTCGACCATTAATTGTATCATAGACTAGAACTCGTGAGGACGATATTTACGTAAAGCTCTATTACGTAAGGGGGTTTTCTGTACCATAATACGGCTAGTAGTCGGTTGATGTGCAGTAGTATTATTATTATTTTTATTTTATTTTATTTTTTTCTGGACAGAATATCCTTTTCTTTGTAATGAAATTAGTCAGTTGCAGTTCGACAATTCGCCATTTGAACTTGTGATTTAGCTCGAGTAGTCGGAATTTACTCTGTGAAATGAGGTGGCAAAGTTAAATCTAATTTTATGTGGCAGTGTGGTTTGAGTTATTACATATGGTTTCATGTTGTACGATAGAATTCTAAGATTGTTGTAATGTAAATCACGGTACCGTACGTGGGGTGAAGTATGGCGAATCGGGTCTGAATTAGCCCTTTCGGATTTTTTTTTTCTTTTTTCTCCGGAAGTGAAATTAAAATTCCAAAAAAAATTCGGAAATCAGAAATCGGAATTTCTGAGTTTGGAATGAAGATATTTGTTCCATTTGCTGGATTATTTGTAGTTAAGGTTGGGGACCAAATGGAATATACCTAGTCAAAAAAGTGTAATCCAATTGCAATTTGCAGCAAAATGACACGTGGCAGGTAGACAAAAAGTGTCGAATTTTGGTAGAACCTGAGATTCTGCGTTTTCAATCTATATAAAAAGAATTAGTGTATACTGTATTTAGCACATACATTAGATATTAATTTTGGGACTGGATTGGACTAAAAAAAGTTAAAGGATATGTAAATCAACAATCGTGCAAATATGGTGGGCTTTCTTGGGATTTTACGAAAATATAAAAAAAAATGAAAAGAGAGTGTTGTGGATTATTAGAAAGCTCACTTTCACTAAAAGCAAAATCACACTTAGGTGTGGTGTTTACAAAAGATTGTTTAAAAACAAAAGTTACTGATTGTGAATTAAGCTGATATTAAGTGCATATTTTTAAAAGTTGGGCGTTTGCAAATTAGTTGGGAAATCAACTTAAATTGAAAAGGCGGGTATATGGATGCTTGAAAAATTACAGCTTAAAGCAGCTTATTTAACGATAAGCAAAAATAAAAACTTGTTGTACAAAAACCTAAAACCAAATTTGTGAAAAAATAACTTATAAATTATTTCTGAAAGCTTTTACAAACACTACCTTAATTTTGCTTTTTCTATCGAACACAGAAACTGAAAACCGAGATCATGTTTGTTTCACAATTTTATCCAGAAATTCCCATTTTTTCTTATCAAATTTCTATTGAAAATACACTATTCATACTTTTTTCAATTTTCAAACCTACTAAAACCTACTACTAACCTATATATTTTATTCCAACAACTCATTTCTCTCTCCTCATTAATATTCACACTCTCTCTCCTCTCTCCTCATTAATATCTACACTCTCTTTCCTCACAATTTCTCTATCTACTACTAAAAATAATAATAATAATAATAATAAT